CAACTACACTTGTACTGTCTCTGCAGCCCAGTCCTTATATCATTTGTAAGGTTTTAAGTGAATTGAATGCAACCTGCTTCACAGATGGTCGCCCTGTGAATGGTATACAGATACGTGACTTGGTTTAGCAAAGGATTTCGGTTTTGCTTTCTTTTTAAAAAAAATTAAAATAAAAAAGAAATAGCCTGGTGCTCATAGTAATTTTTCAGTCTCTTTGCTGCCTTCTCTCTGTAGCCTTCCACTCCCTTGTGGGTTTGGTAACGTCATGTCTAGATTTTAGTCTATTAAACCGGGAAGAAAAAGAGGGTGCAGAATAAATGATCAATTTGTATTTATTTAACATTTTACTAAATAAAACAATAAAATCTATTGTCTCAAGTTTTGTTTGTCATGGGTATACCCCTGCTAACAGTCATGAATTAGGAGAAACAGCTTTTAAACTTGGCTTGTCAACGTAAACATGATTTTTTTCATGGGCACTTCCATTGAGCCTGCAAAAAGGATGCAGCTATTTAAGAAGTTCACTACAGTTACTATGATTCTTAAAGTGGCACCTTAATTTTAAACTTGCAATGGAATACAAAACAAAAGTTGCTTTAATGAATGGCAAGAGACTATTACACTATTGTGAGGTTCAAAGTGTTTCCTTCAAATCATGTTTAAAACTGCACAGGTCCAGTTTTTATAATTTCATGATAGATCCATCAAGTTTTAGGAGCTAGGTAGATGGAAGACTATTTGTCTTGAGAGTTGGAGAAGTTTGCACAGCCTGTACGTATGCACAACTCATTTATCAACACTAACGCTGGTTTTCTTCTTTTCAAATCTAACAGAGATTGTCTCTATCCTGTCTTGTATTCCCTTTTGTTGGGGAATCTAATTCTTGTTAGCTTTACTGTTGTGGTCTGACTACAATATTTTTGGCTTACCTCCTTTTTCTAAACCCTTTCCTTTACTACATCCTTATAAAGCACACATGAAAATTTTTTATTTATCTATATAGTACTGTTTCTGCAGTGTTTATTTTTATGTTTACTTATGTACCCTACTAATTGGAGAATTCCCCCGCCCCCATATTTTCTTTTTTACAATTCTTACATAAGATTTTTGCCACTCATTTATTATATAATTCATGTTTTCCTTTCTAATCTCTTACAAAATTTGGAAAAAAATATCATAGTTCTTCAGCAGAAGAATGAGTGATGAACAACTTTAAAGGACACCATAAGTAAAAGCTTGTTTTCTGCATCTCTATTTCCTTGTCAAAACAGTGTTGTATTTGGGAGTGGATGTTTTGTTTTATCCCAATTAAACTGTGACCTAAAATGGCTTTTTTGGGGGGAAAACAATATACAAGAGCCTAAACTTTGGTGGCTCAGCTCCCCATATTTTATATACACATGGCACATTAGAAGCACCTGCCATTTTGAAAAGATTGGGCATTGGGCTGATATCAACTAGGCTGCTGTTATTGCCCGTGGTTTAAGGCAGCATTCTGGGAATAGCATCATCTTGGAGACAGAATTTCCCATGCTTTCCTAACCTGTGATTTAATCTTTCCAGCTGCTCTCACTAGTTCAAGAACAGGCAATTTATGTTGCCACAGATAAACTTCTCCTTGCCACCAGCCCTGGCCAGCAGTGTAATGTGGGCAAATGAAGGATCACCCTTTTCCCAATTATTATTTAGTTCTTCATATTTTTGATTTCTGTTCTGTCTTGCCTTAGGTTTAGCACTAATGCATTAATGAAGTAGGAAAACTGAACAAGGATAACTTAATACACAGCTCTCTATGCAGCAAAACCTACCAGATTTTCTCAAGAAAAAATGGATTTTTTTTTACTATTTGTTGCTTCAATCATTTAGTTTAGGGTTCTTTCGCAAGAAATAATCACAAAATCCCAATCAGAGGCTTGAAAAGTAATTTCTAAAAACTTTTATTATTTTTTTAAAAAAAGGACAAGAAATACAACCAGTTCTCTATATTTTCAACTTGGACTAGGATCAATATTTATACGACTCCACCTTAAATTAGGATGGAACACTTCAGTCCCATCACTTTTACATTCCAGTTTAATATCAGAAAAATCAGAAGAAACAGCCTAGCAGCAGAAAGTACTGGAGATGCTCCAGAACACAAAGATAAAAAGGAACTGTTAGAAAATTCAAGACACACAATTTACATGTAGTGAGAAATCAGTTTAAATTATATAAATAGTAACTGAAGAACCAACTCCTTGTGATCCAGTGTTTCATAACTATGAACAAGTGCTAGGTTGAAACTGCTCCCAACACACAATCCAGTAGAGCATTCATTAAAAGCACATTGTTATAAGGGTTGTGCAATCTTTGGATCTGATTCAGAAGATGTGCTTCAGAATACACAGCAGTACAAATATACTGTGACTCAATAAAACAGTTATTTCTGTTTCCAGGGGACTTCTGCAGATACATGATCCTGAGGACAATGCTGCTTTAATGAGTGGAAGATACTTTATGTTCCAAATCGCTTCTTTTTAATAACATTTATAGTACTGCAAGCCAAATGTTTACCATCTTGGAACTCGTAGGTTTTTCCAATCAAAGAACGGATTTTCTTTGATTTTTGAATATGATTTTTTTTAATCAGATTCCCTAAGCATCTATACAGATGACAGTGTGCAGGAAAAGATTTCCAAGACTGCAAAGATTCAGCTGCCTAAAAGTTGAAACTCTAGCTCCATCCCTGAGGCAGGGACCTCTGTTGTAATTTAGGGATGGGAAATACGAAAGGCCTTGGATGAACTTCACCTGCCTCCATGGAGAGGAGAGTTTGCTTGGCAGTGCTGAGCATTAAATTACAGCTGCACTAAGGTGATTTCGTGAGTGCAGAAGTCAAATAGAGCTGTGTGGCATAACGGCACAACCACCTCTCTTAGATGGCGGAACAATGAAAAGAGGCAACAGAAAGGAGACTTTACTTCAAAAATACCTTCTTAAATTTTTCAAAAGCATTTGCTTAGCCAAGCCTAATTCAAAAATTCAGTACAGGTAGGCCTCAACGTAACAACCAAATTGAGCTCAAAATTGATGTTGCTAAGTGAGAAATTTGTTAAGTGAGTTTTGCTCCATTTTATGATTCCCCCCCCCCGCCACCACATTTGATAAGTGAATCACTGCAATGGTTAAATTAGTAACCACGGTTATTAAGTGAATCTGGCTTCCCCATAGACTGTGTCAGAAGGTCACAAAAGGGGATCACATAACCAGGACACTGCAACTGTTGTAAATATGAGCCAGTTGCCAAGCGGCTGAATTTTGATCACATGACCACAGGGATGCTGCAATGGTCATAAGTGAAAAAAAAAGCTCATGCCACTTTTTTCAGTACTTTTGTAACTTCGAATGGTCACTAAGTGAACTGTTGTAAGTCGAGGACTACCTGCATTACAGTGGTGCTTAAAAGTTCATGAAATCTTGAATTCTCAATATTTCTGCATAAACATGGATCTAAAATGTCTTCTAGATCATCCTACACACTTCCTAAAATTAGATAAGAACACAATTAAGAAATGAATTGAAAATATTTGCTCATTAATACATTGAGAAAATGATCCAAATCTACATATTTGTGTGTGTGGAAAAAGTGTATGAAACTCCAGGACACAGGTGTCAAACCCATACCGTCACATGATGTATTGTGACGTTTTCCCCCTTCACAGAGTTGGGGTGGGTGTGGTCTACGCGTGACGCATCCTGTCCGCAGTCCGCCAGTTTGACTCTAGAATGCTCAGTTTATTTGAAGAGACAAATAAGAGTCAGGAGGTCAATATAATGATAATCAGGTGTGAGCATGGGAAGTTCTACCTTATTTAAAAAAACAATTCTACGATCTTCACAGCACAGGGTTGTAGAAGTGTGTCAGGGCTCAAACAAAAGATTTCTGAAGACCTTCAAAAAACAGTTGTTGATGCTCACCTGACTGGAAAAGATTACAAAACTATTTCCAAAGTTTGTATTTCACCAGTCCACTATCAGGCAGATGATATGGAGGCAACTATTGTTACCTTCCCCAGGAATTGTTGACTAAGCATCATCCCAAGGGCAAGGTGTGAAATATTCCAGGAAGTTTCAAAGAGCCCCCAGGAAACACCTAAGGAACCATTAGATAAAAGTGGCATATATGGCAATGTTGTAAGGAGAAAGCCACTACTCTCAAAAAGAAAAGAAAAGAAAAACTCTGCCCCTCTACAGTCTGTGGAAGACCACATGGATAAGTCAAAGGCTATTGGAAGAACGTTGTGTGGATGGATGAGATCAAAACAGAAACTTTTTAGCTTGTATGAAAAGGGTTTGGCAAAAGGCAAATGCTGCATTTCAGCATAAGGATTTTAACCCATTTGTGAAATGCAGTGCTGGTATCAGGCTTGGGCCTCCTTTACTGCTTTTAGACCAGGATGATTTGCCATCATTGATGGAACTATAATTCTGAACTATAACACCAAATTATATAAAAATTGTCCCTGAACTGAAGTTCATGGACCATGCAGCAAGATGATGACCCATGACATAAAAATTGTAAAGTAAAAATAGGATTAAAGCAGAAGAAAGTAAATGGTTTAGAAGGGCAAGTCAAAGTCCTGATTTCAATCATATAAAAACGTTGTGGGGAAAAAACTGTCCAAAAAAAACAAATGGTTGTGGAAGGATCCAAAATAGGCAACTCATGCAAGGAAATCTGTCAACAACCCTAAATTAAACCTGTTTCATAAGGAGGAATGGGCTAAACTAGTACAGTGTGTAGTACAGATCAATAGTTGTTGAAAATGTTTAGTTGCAATTACTGCTACCCAGGTTTGGGTGGAGGGCATGATAGCAATAGCAATAGCAGTTAGACTTATATACCGCTTCATAGGGCTTTCAGCCCTCTCTAAGCGGTTTACAGAATCAGCATATTGCCCCCAACAATCCGGGTCTTCATTTTACCCACCTCGGAAGGATGGAAGGCTGAGTCAACCCTGAGATTTGAACTGCCGAACTAACAGTCAGCTGAAGTAGCCTGCAGTACTGCACTCTAACCACTGCGCCACCTCGGCCCGTGATAGCTACTGAAACTTTTGCACTCATTTGTCACATATAAATATGTAGTTTTGGGTCACTTTGTTCAGTAAACCAATGAATCTACTATATTTTGACTCATTCATTTAATTGGGGTTCTTTTTATCTTGTTTTAGGAGTTGGGTGGAGAACAGATAACATTTTAGCTCATATTTACATAGAACTATTGAAAATTCAAAAGCGTTCACCATTTTTAAAGCATCACTGTATATGGCATAAAGCATTACTTTATGCCATATATTCTCAACAAAATATGTAGTATGGATTTCTTTTCACTTAATCATTTTCCCCACATGACATATGGTTTTTATTTAAGAATATGGTTCAGCACAAAAAGCTCTTCAATCAAATGGCCATAACTAAACAAATAAGAAAGAAACAGAATAGTTTCTCTTGCAAAAGCTGAGAAATATTCAGAGGCAGGTAGGAAAAGAAAGAAGATCAAACATTAACATTAAATGAATTGTCTTGCTTCAAATTTGATTTTCAGGGAAATGCCAAAAATGAGAAAGGGGATGAGGCAAGAAATATGATCTGAGGAGTCCTTGGTGCTCTCTGAGTTTGATTGTTTTCTTGCAGATGTTTCATTATCCAAACTAGGTAACATCATCAGAAGTTTACCTAGGATCCCCATTCAGTTTCCATAGTGGCCAACTGATACGTATAAAAAAGAAACTTGTGTTACCCAACAACAGGTTTTAGAAGTAGATTGCTTCTGAAGGTCACTTGACAGTCCAAATCAATTATACTACTCAGAAATTTGGGGGGCTCCCTTCATGGATCCATTCAACTGAAGACTAAATAACCACCTGTCTAATTTAATTTGGACTCCTGCACTGTCTAATTTAATTTGGACTCCTGCACTGAGCAGGGCAGCCCCTTTCAGCTCTATGATTTGAGCCATTCCAGCCGCTTCTCTTTTAAAATATGTTAAGAACAAAGGCTAGAGGACAATGGGCAAAGAGAAGACACTAGAAAACAGTAATGTCAGCCCTTGCTATTTGATAAACAGAAAGAGGAAAAAAATGCTACAATTATGAACAAAAATGTTCCTTTCCATCTTTGAATGTCGGTGAACACACTGTATTAAAACAATGGACGTGAGAAAGGGAAAGCACTTAAACCACACGTTTTCCCTCTCTTTTCCTCTGACTTCCTCTTTACAGAACAATCTGTAAAAAGAGGCAGATGCATACAAGTGTAATTTGCCTAGTTAATCTGAGAATAGAATTTGCCACAAAATATAGCCCTGAGTGGCAGCCGTGGCTAAAATTCCATTCACAATCCAGGCTTAGCCGTACCATTAGGTCACCATAGCTAGGAGGACTGGGTTTCTGATGAGTCTCTCTCCAAGAGTTCTTGAGCCTCGTCCATTTGCAGGTCACACGATCCTTTGGTATCCTGGTTGCCATTCATAAACTTCTCTCTGCAGTGAGGTATTTTAGTGCTGCCGCACCATACTTGCGGGACAGGTCCTGATGGAATTCTTCCCTCAGAGTCTGGAGGCAGTTCCGATAGCTACTACTCTGGCGGAATTTGGAGATGTCAAAACTAGGAGCGTGAGGCATATGGATCATGAAGGCGTTGGGCAAGACAAGCAGCTCATACTCCTGTGAAAAGGTAGGAAATGGCTGACAGGAAGCTATTCCCTTCAGCCCTGGTCTTCCTCAATAAAAAGGACAGACAGTGGACTGCTGAAAAGCCACATACTCACCTGAGCATCAAGCTCCATGATGTGAGACACCTTGTTCCAGCCAAAGCCTACAAACCGCTGGTCATAGAGGGGACAATCACGCCTTACTACAACGTAAGGCTCAAACTGTGGTTGCCAGTCCACTTGATACGGCACTGTGGCTGTCCGCCATTTGGCATAATCTGTTGGCGCATGGCCCTGGGGCCACACGTGATACCTGTACACAAAATATATACATCATTGGGAAGCACTAAGTGAAAATACTTCAATGTTGTTCCTATACTGAAAACTAAAAGATTGAAAAACAAGCTTAGATTAACCAGACTTCCTTATTACTTCTGTCAAAAGTCACACTTCTTGGATTGACACAAGATACGATGTTCATTTATTTATACAATTATTTACTAATCATTCACTTTCCATTGGGCTTACAATGCCATACAATAAATATTGAACAACTAAAAATTCCCGACAATCCAATTAATGTCTTAGGGCAGCTCTGTATGATCAGCATTCAAATGCTTTGCAAAATAAAAATGTTTTTCCTGAAAATCAGGAGTTGGGCATATTCCTTATTTTAGAATGCAAGCTGTTCCAAAGAAGGGCTACCCATGTGAGAGTACCACAATCCCAATGAAACTGGCCTTATCTCAGGTCTTGTGCCTTTGCAAAAATAAAAGTGGGAGCACAAATATTCTAGGAAGAAAAATCCCAATTCAACTGTGCTGCTAAAGCTCAAATATTTCCCACTGAATTTCAGCAGAATTATGATTTATTTTGGGGGTTCACAATGATTTGAGAATAAAGATAGACATTTTTTTCCCAAGCAAACCTCAGGAGATAATGGAACATGGAACCAAGTTTCCAAGCACTTAATCATTTAGGATGAATTGGATTGTATGGAAGAAGAAGCTTTTTTTCCTGGTATATGTCCATACATATTACAGACAAAACCAGTCATTTTTATTATGCCTGGAAACAAATGGGAGATAATGGGGCGGGGGAGACCAAAACAGATTAACATACTCTAAAGTATCAATGGAAACCAAGCTATTAGCAGATTTATTTGAGAAAGAAAGGCAATGGAAGCAAAGTAGTAAGGGATTTGCGGGGAGGGGGAGAAGGGGCAGAAATTGGGAAAAGAAAATGGTTTAAAAGATCAGAGAAATGCAGAGTAGGAAACAGTCATGAGAAATAAAAAAAAGTCTGAAAGGAAATAGTGCCAGAAAATGAGAGGGCTGAACGTAAGTTGAACTGGGACAAGAGGAAATATATTCATAGCCAGGGAAAAGAGCACTGAATTCATGTATCAGTTTCAAAAAATCAGCTAAATATTGGTGCATAATCTACTGAAGAGAATTGTGAAGCTGGTTTTGCCCTTTAGTTGCTAAACATGATCCAGCAATTGTTTAACCCAACCTCTGGTTCTTGAAAATGGACCTTTGCTGATCAGCACTTACCTGAAAGTATAGAGGGAGCCCATGTCCAGCATGGTGAGCAGCTCCGCTTTGGATTTGGGAAAGTTGAGGCGGTAATGCAGAGTCTCAAACGCAGGCACTATGAGAGCTACCTTCTTTGGGGGCAGCTCCAGCTGCATGATGGAGGACCTAGAGACAAATGGCAAACAGAACATTTCAAGATGTCAACACTCTGGAGAGTATTAGAACTAACATATTTCTTAGCCTAAGGCCGTGATGATGAACCTATGGCCCGCATGCCATAGCTGGCATGTGGAGCCATATTTAGTGGCATGCCAGTCGTCAGCTCTGGCACACATGGGTGCGCCGGGCAACTGATTTTCGGCCTTCCCGTTGGCCCATTGGGGCCGTTGTTAGCCCTCCCCAGGCTTCAGGAAAGCGTCCGGAGCCTGGGTGTGTGTGCATGCATACACGGAGGGGGTCACATGCACATGTGCAGATGGGTGGGGAGGATTGAATTGATGCAGGCACGCATTCGTGCGCAATAGCGTGCACACACACAATTTTGGTACGCCATAAGAAAATGGTTCACCATCACTGGCCTAAGGAATACATTAGAATAAAACTAACATAGGCTCAGCATTCCTCCGGGGTCAGTATGGCCAATAGAGCCAACTATAACATCAGTGGAAAGAGGAAATGAAGAAGGCAACAACTTCTTCACAATGAAGAAATTTGACACCAGTTAAATGGGACAACTAAGACCTATATGGAGGGACACTGAAACAAAGACTAGGGATGTCACAATTTCTTAGATCTTTGGGAGACTTAGTTGAAAACCATATTGTTGCCTTGACCCACTTTGGACCTCAAGAAGACACACCTGAGATAATCATAGAGGCCATACATCGGCAGGAAATCAATGTCCATCAGAAAAACGTGGGAGGTCTGTGCATTTTTCAGGGCCATGTTGCGCAAGAAGTTGACTGGGTAAAACTGCCCTTCCTTGTATACAATGTGATAGGCAACATTCTGACGGTTACTCAGCACCTCCGATGCTTGAGCATAGCGTAGAAACTGCTGGGCCTCCGCATCAGACATGTACAAAGCCAGGCTAATGGGGCCTGTCCAGTGTTTACATATCGCCTCCAGCATCTGCAACCTGCAAAATCAATAAGAGAAATTGAGAGCATCGCATATTATCATTAGTCAACCAAAAGCTATAGAGCCCAGACATCCCAGCCCCACAAACCCTTCTGAAATACAATTTAAATGCTCTTTAGTTCCCAAATGTAATTTTGGTGATGTTCCAGCACTCCATTTTTAAAGTTTTGTTTTCTCCCATTCCTATTGCTTTGCCAATACCATGCCAGCTGTTGTCTACATTTGAATATAAAAATAACAGATACCTTAGAAATAGGTATTTCAGCAATGCTCATATTGAGACCAGCACAAGTATTTGTGTTCAGACAATCAGATTTTCTGTGATATTCCAAAAAAGTGCAATCAGCACTGTATCCTAAGACCAAAAACTATTTACACAAAATTAAAAATCAAATGTGTGTAGGAAATATCCTTGTTTTAATATTAATAATATTTTATCTTTGATTTTTAACAAGTAAACACATTTATAGTCTGTCTGGAGAGGACTGATTTTGTGTGGCCTCCGTGTCAGTGTCAAAACATGCTCTTTAAGCATGCTCTCCATCTAATTTGCACCACTAAACTCATTTAGTGACTCATGCAGACCTTTTGTTAATTGGGTCTAATCATTTCCCTTCCATAATTGTTTCTGTCCAGAAAACAGATTACTTTACAATTTTGGCTCATGTTAAGGGATGCAAAGCTAAAATCTCAGCATTCCCTAACAAAATAGTTTAAGGATGCCTTGATTCAAGAAGGGAACATCTAATGCAAAGGAAAGAGGTTAAAAGAAACATCAAATAGTTGAAGCAGGAATGGGGGGAATTAATTACTCTCCTAACCGCTGTGAGCCTCCATGCTTTCCTAGTACCAAACTGATTGACCTTGGAAACCAATATAATAGCCCTTAGCTGGGCTTATGGGGCAGGGGGAAAATGAAGATTGAACATATTAATCTGGTGTCCTCTGACAATGGGATTTACTACCATCACATGCAAAAGTCAAAAGAAACCTTGTAAACATTGCAGGCAAAATCATTTAGTACTGTGATGGCGAACCTATGGCATGCATGTCGGAAGTGGCACGCAGAGCCATTGGTCCAGGCACACAAGTCATCGCCTATTGCTCTTCTGGGTTCCAGTGTGCTGCCCAGCTGGTCTTCACGCACACGGGAACATTGGAAACTGGAAAAGCAGCCGCCCGGCGTGCATGTGTGTGCCGGGCAGCTGTTCTTTGTTTCCAGCATGCACATGTGCACCAGCCACCTAGTTTTCCGGTTTCTGGCATGCATGTTTGCGTGAACACCAGCTAGCTGATACACATGCATGTGCCGGAAACTGGAAGATCCTCTTCCTGGCACGTGCATGCTCTTATTTTGGCACTCGATGCCAAAAAGGTTTGCCAACACTGATTTAGTATCTTGCCTTCCCTTATGATGGAAATACAAAATGGCCTATGTAGCCACATGATACATGATACATCAACTGGGCATATGCTACATCTATCTTTTTATCAAGACTTTCACTTTATGGACTATAGTTGCAATCTGATGCTATCTCAAGTATGATATTCTACTAAGGAAGGAAGGAAACAATAAAGTCTGGATATTTTAGTTTAAGATTTACATATCTTTCCCTCATGATTTTGAAAATAAAATAATATTGGACTCCAACCTTTGGTGGATCCCTTTGGGTTTAATCATTACTGGATACTGTTGGGTATCATATTAACCAAATAATTCTCAGCAAGCACGAGTGCTTATAAAACCATGTTATTAAAAATATTTGAAAAGCTGAAGGCTATTTTGCATATGCTGAGATTATAGTAAATTTTCTCACTTTGAAGCCAAAGTGCCATCTGAAAGCAACACAGTCTGATGGAATTCCACTACAGCAATGAAAGGAACACATGAACCATGTCTACACACCCTTCTGTTCCCCCTCCCCACCCACCAATCTCGTACCTGTCCATAGACAGCTGAGCTACGAGAGTTACATCTATTTCATCAGCCGACCCTGAAAAATCATATTGCAGGAAGAAGAGATGGACGCGGTGCTGAATCAGGCTTTGCCTCCGAAAATCATAGCAAGGATCGTCTTCATCCAGCTCTTCCAGAGCTTGCTGGAGCTAAAATTTAAACAGGAGTGTATTTGAGACACAGAATGAGATCTCAAAATAAAACAGTTGGTCAAGAATGACATGTAACCACTGTGCATCTTTAATGTGCGATTGACTGTAGCACAGGCGAGCAACCTTCAAACAGCCCTCAGGTATTGCCCAAATAATTCAGAAGGTCCTGCTCATTTTTAGCTTGGCAGCAGTGATCAAGACAATGTGTTTGTTGTTGGGTTAATATAAGTTAATACAACCCTTCCAGTAATCCCCATGGTAACTTCCTCCCCATCCATGGTTTCTCATATGCTGATTAAATTAGCTAAATAAATTAAAAATTTCTCAGTTTCAGACATAACAAGGAGATCAGGAAGCCTCTCACCTGGCCACTGGGCAAGCTGGGACAGCCAAACAGTTCTCTGCGCAACAAGTTCCCATCATACTCTAAGAAGGTCAAATAAAGGTTCCTAAAGAATTCCACATGCTTATTTTTGACTCGCAACTTCTTGGGAGAGTTCCAATGAATCACCTGAGGACAGAAAGTTAAAGTGAGGAAGTCTAACACCTTCAGCAATAGACAGGCCTTCCCAGCACCCCCTTTGCTTAAACTACAGAATGCCGAAAGATTCAGCCAGACAGAAATCGAAGATTTTCCCAAGGTGACAAAAGGAGATCAGCAAAGTCTCAGCCAGGGAGGCACTGCTCACCTTAAGATCAGACACCTCGGTGTAGCATTGCTCTGAACGGGTATGGTCAGAGAGCTGGACATTCCAGAAGCAAGGGAGCCGGTACACAAGGGCTGGCTTTTGTTTGATCACCGCATTAAAGATGTCCTAGAAGAGAGATTGCAGTTGGCACACTGGGCACTCTGGAAGAGGAGAAAGCTCCAGGATAAAAGCAAGTGAGGAGTCACAGCAGAAGGAAACAAATTAGTCAAATGACAACATCTAATCTTTCTCTGCCTACTTTGAAATGAAAGGCACATTGTGGGCCTAGACTAGTGGTTCCCAACATGGGGCCCATGCCCCACAGGGGGACAATTTGATTTTTAATGGGGGCAATTTGAACCTTATTAAAATCAAGTTAATGGCCTTTTTAGGTTTCCTCGGTGTGAGTAGAGTTCACTTTTTGAGTAAAGTAAGAATTATATGTCACGGGGTGGGGAGATCAGGATTTTAAAGATGCTTAGGTGGAGCATGGCCAAAAAAAAGTTGGGAACCACTGTCCTAGACTGAAAGGACAGTAAAACAACAACAACACACACACACACACAAAACTAAGAACACTCGCCTGATCTGCTAGTGAGGTGGACAGCATATTCATGAGCTCTTGCTCAGCTGTCACCCGCCACAACTGCTCCCAACCAAGATGGCGCAAACGCTCCAACAGCAACAAGATCACCCCTATGGAAGAGGAGACAATAACTGAGCCCTGAAAAATGTTTTTCAAAATATTGGTCAATCTCTGTGGCTCCCCAAACTTATCCAAATCACGATGTTGTAGTGTTTATTTGTTTACCAAAATATTTCTATGCCACCGACACCTTACCCACTTACTAAGGCAGCATTATCAGGGACTGTCCTGGCAGTGGGAGAATTTTTGGCAGAATTATTGGATAGAATAATGATTCTCCTCTTTCTCCTGACTCTTAATCCCAGTTTATCATCTGCAATAGTCTTTCCCAACGCACATGGAGAACACAACTGGAAGGATAAACAATAGGTAGGTTCTCATTTAGTATCTGATGGTTTACTCATAGTTCACAGTTATGGTGATGAAAATGTAACTTTGCAACCAATCCTCACATTTATGACCTTCACACGTCTGTAAAGCAAAGGAAAGTTGAAGTAAGATCATCAGATAGTTATGATTTCACTTCAAAACTACTTCACTTAACAACCAAGTTGTTGTTAACTGTAACAGTAAAATGAGGACTACTTAAACATGTGATTCAAAGCTCACTTCTGGGCTGTCTATGCATCTATCCCAAAGGACTGGCTTGCATTCCTGTTTGAAGTTTAATAGTACACAACAAATTATGCCTTCCTAGCTCAGGGGGACGGGGTGGCTGAGAGGCTAAGATACTGAGCTTGTCGATCAGAAATCCATAGCACCACATAACTGAGTGACCTCCCATTACTTGTCCCAGCTTCTGCCAAACTAGCAGTTCGAAAGCACGTAAAAATGCAAGTAGAAAAATAGGAACCACCTTTGGTGGGAAGGTAACAGCGTTCCATGTGCCATTGGCATTGAGTCATGCTGGCCACATGACCACGGAGACATCTTTGGACAGCGCTGGCTCTTCGGCTTTGAAATGGAGATGACCACTGCCCCCTAGAGTCGGGAACGACTAGCACATATGTGCGAGGGGAACCTTTACCTTTAGCTCAGCTAGATCATCACTGCTTACTCGTAGCCTTAAAGTAACAATAGTTGATATGTTAATTGTCCCATCTGAATAGACATATATCTGTTGTGAAGTGTACCTGTATTGAAGCCACGATCCAATGCTGGCCATGGTTTATGGTTCTTCCAGAGATTTCCCAGGTACCAATCACTTTGGTTTTCCACTAGTCCAATCACCTGTTTATCTGGATTAAAGATGACACCAATCAGATCCAGGGCAAGGAGTAGACTTTCCCCATTCTCACTGTACTAGACCCCAATAATTGATTCTCCCATTCCTGGTTGTTTTTTTTTACAATTTGGAAAAACAGCACAGTTGGATGGATTAGAAAACAAATCCATATTATTCCACCTTCCCATAAACCTGCTCAAACCACAAGGCCATTGAAGTAGTCCTCAGTTTATGACTATTTTCATTCAGCAGCTGTTTAAAATTATGACAGCACTTTAAAAAGTGAGTTATGACTGGCCCACAAGGTTACAGCTGCTACACACCCACTGCGGTTAAGTGATCAAAATCTGGTGCTTGGCAGGTCACACAACCAGTGGTAGGATTCCATTTTTTTATTACCGGTTCTGTGGGCGTGGCTTGGTGGGCGTGGCAGGGGAAGGATACTGTAAAATCTCCATTCCCTCCCCACTCCAGGAGAAGGTAACTGCAAAATCCCCATTTCTTCCCAATCAGCTGAAACTGGGGAGGCAGAGAATAGATGGAGGCGGGGCCAATCAGAGGTGGTATTTATCGGTTCTCCAAACTATCAAAATTTTGGTTACCAGTTCTCCAGAACTGATCAGAACCTACTGAATGCCACCTCTGCTTACAACCACAGAGGCACTCCCCCCTCCTCCTTCCCATCTATGACCTTTTGTCTGGCCTGCACTATGGCACTCCTTAGAATCTGGGCAGGGTTGGTGCTGAAGTTAGAGGCCTGAAGCCTTCAGCAGTCTGTTAACTACCACCATCCCCTGCTATTACTGGGAAATACCACCTCCAGCCTCATACCATTTCCAGCCACCCACAGCACAAAACCCAGCTGCCCCCACTGTCCTGCCACACCCAGTTGCCCTCTTCCATCTTCCTCCTCCTGCTAATACTTTTGCCCCCACTGTCCTGCCACGCCCAGTTGCCCTCTTCCATCTTCCTCCTCCTGCTAATACTTTGCGAGACAGCTGTTGACTACACCAGGCCTTCTTCCCAAGGCCACCAGCACTGTTTTTCATATTATGTGTCCCATCCTTGTGATGCTTCAGAAAGCCTTTGGAAAGTTTGAGAGGTCTTCTGAATCATTGCAAGAATGAGGCACCTGCGGTTCTCTTGTGTACTCACAAGATCTGGGGAAGGTGGCCTCATGGGACCAGCAGCTGGCTTGCAAAATGCCAGGGTGGGCACACTTCAGCAGCAAAAGAAGCACGAAGATGGCCAAGGTCAGCTGGGGTGGCAGAGTGCAGGGTGACAGGGGTCTTGGAGTTTAGGGCAGTGAGGGTGAGTGGGCTGGGGCATGCTGTACCGTGTTGCTGGGCAGCAAGTTTGCACTGTAATGTTGACACTTCCTGGAGCATGCTGATTCCACACTGCACTATAATTCAAGAGCTTCTTGCAGTTCCCAGAGTTGTAACACACAAATAAGCCCGAGCCACAGCAATAGCAACAGTAATAGCACTTAGGCTTAGATACCACTTCACAGTGCTTTACAGCCCCCTCTAAGCGATTTACAGAGTCAGCATATTGTCCCCAACCATCTGGGTCCTTATTTTACCGACCTTGGAAGGATGGAAGGCTGAGTCAACCTTGAGCCTGGTGAGATTCGAACTGCCAAATTGCAGTCAGCAGAAGTAGCTTGCAGTACTGCATTCTAACCACCGTGACACCAAGGCACAATTTATTCTTTCTCCAGCTTCCTTACATCCTCACACACCTTGCATTCTCTTTCACTGGCTACTCTAAGCTTATGTCGCACCGCAATCATATGCAGCCGGCATTAGTCCTTCCAGGGCCTTCCCACTGTGGCACCCCCATGCTCCTTACCTGGGATCTCTCCTCTTCCTGCTTAATGACCCATGCACCTGGAGTTATGACGGCAACCAAAAGTGCTTGGACTGCCATTGCTTAACAATGTGGCCATGTGATATTGAACATCATTGAAGGAAGGAAATTCTGATCCCAATTGTGATTGTAAGTCAAGGACTACCTGTAGATTTTAAACTACTCTCCAGAGCAGATCACCAAATAATATAAACCAGATTGGCTACTTGGGAATCCTAAATAGAACTTCCAATTTATCTAGAAGCATCAGATTAGGGAAGAATAGTCTGAATTGTAGACCCCTAAATGGCAAAATTGTGGATCTCAAGAACTTGTACCAGCTATATTGGCTATATACCGTATCAGTGCAGCATATTGATATATGAAGCATATTGATATTCATCTTGGAGAGCCATAACTTCCATTCTGAGAAGATCTAAAAAAAATCCTCCCATCTCTTACTTACCTGAGAACTTCCCAAAGATAGCCCACAACTCCGCAATGTCAGTAGCAAATGTGATGTCAGTATCAAGGACGATGACCTTGGAAAGGTCAGAGGGCAAAGCTTTCGTGAGTGTCAGCTTCATCAACCCATAGATTCCAGAGTAATGTTTGTTAGGGATCCAGGAAATGTCTGGCTGTAGCAAGGAGAGAGAAAGACACGAAGGAATAAAATGGCAAGATCACCTACTTGAGCTATGGGCAAGGTCAACATCCAATCATAATGCTTCTATGGCCCACGACTAATGAAATTCTATTTAACACAGGAAGACAACAAAAAGAGACTCTCTGTCTCCACTGTGATCCAGAGACCCAAATGAGTGTTGTAGAGAAGCTTGCAAAGAATACAGGCCACGCAATGTGACTAGTATGGGGGCCATCATTAGATTCTTATGGAACAGCAGCAACATTAAGACAAATTACATACGATCAGACCAATGTACCCTACATTCAAATGGCAGCTTCCACAAGGAAACAATTTAAAGCAGTGCCCATGCTAGTGACTGTTGTCAGAAAACAACACATATGCACCCACGTGCATGCACACGGACACACACACACCACGTACAAGAGGTACATGTTTCACAATGCTAATCCTGTTAGCATTTCTTAAGAGGTTTGGAGTCAGAGTGGGGAACCAATAGCATTCTAAATACTGCTGAACTACAATTTCCAAAAGCCAAAGACAGTTTAGCTTTTGTGGAAAATGTAAGGAATTTTAACAACATTTGGAGGACCACAGATATTTTGCCCTGGTGACAACGTTTCAAAATTCAGGTCTTCTCCATTATTTGAGGACATCTATATTAATCTATAGATCTATATTAATACCTCCCACTAAAAGCCACCAATTCCTCTTAACAAGAGTATTTTCCCAACTATCAAGATAAAAGTAATGCTAAAGAGAATCTGCTTTAGCATCTTTCTGAATCGGTCATGCAATTATCTTTTGCCCATTGTTGGTAAAAGTAAAAGAGGCAGAGAATGCCTCTTCTCTTACACTAGTTTGGTTTTTATTTTACAGTGGAGAAGATCTACAGGTAGTTCTCGACTTACGACCACAATTGAATAGTTGTTAAGTGAGTTTTGCCCCATGTGATGACCATTATTGCCACAGCTGTTAAGTGGATCACTGAAGTTGTTAAAAGTTAGTAACAGGGTTGTGAAGTGAATCTGGCTTCCCCATTGTCTTTGCTTGTCAAAAGGTTACAAAATGTGATCACATGGCCCCTGGACACAGCAAACGCCATAAATATGAGTCGGTTGCCAAGTGCCTGCATTTTGATCGTGTGACCATAGGGATGCTGCAATGGTCAAAAATGTCAAAATGGTCATAAGTCACTTTTTTCGCTGCCATTTTAACTTTGGTCACTACATAAGCTGCTGTAAATCAAGGACTATCTGTAATGCTATCGATAAAGCAGCCCCTTACCTACACCAGAATAAAATTATCCGTGTCCCTAAACCCCGTGACTTTCGTCTAAAAGGTAAAGGTTCCCTTCACACACATGTGCTAGTCCTTCCTGACTCTAGGGGGCAGTGCTCATCTCCGTTTCAAAGCCAAAGAGTCAGCGCTGTCCAAAGACGTCTCCGTGGTCATGTGGCCGGCATGACTAAACACCGAAGGCACACGGAACGCTGTTACCTTCCCACCAAAGGTGGTCCCTATTTTTCTACTTGCATTTTTACATGCTTTCTAATTGCTAGGTTGGGAGAAGCTGGGACAAGTAACGGGAGCTCACTCCATTACGCTGCGCTAGGATTCGAACCGCTGAAATGCCAACCTTTCTGATCAACAAGCTCAGCGTCTTAGCCACTGAGCCACCTTATGAATCTGTGTTATGAATTCATCTTATTAATCTGAGCTTATGAATCTGTGTTTCTAGTTCTGTTTGATTATGGAGAACAACATGCGGCTGAGAAATTAAAGTAGAGCATTTAGGGTCACCTATGGGCATTAAAAATCATGTTATTCCTCTGGACAACTTCATGGCTCTCCTGAATTGAACTGCTCCGGTCAGCCTGTTAATTTCCTGCTCTTGTTTTAGTTTTCCAAAGAGATTAATCTTCTCAGAAGTCCTGAATTGCAGAATGGTATTCTATGTATATGAATTATTTCAACTTTATATCCTGGATGGTTGACTGCTGCAGCCTTGACAATTATTCATTATGCTCAGGATTGAAGGCAATTCATTATCATTTGGATCCAGGATCTAACCCTCTTGGCATTAATGGAAGTGATTGTTTTTTGTTTTTTTTTGCTGAAACAACGTATTGGCACTGACAAAGAAACAAGCTTAGCATCCCTTCCTCCCCCTGCAACAAATGAACCAATGGATGCCAGACTTCCAACCACTCCTTTGGCTCAGAGGTTCTCTAACATGAGACGGGTAGAAATGTTAAGAGGCTTGTGCGTTTAAGATCCAGGCAGAGGGAGAGCACAATTTGGCAGAGCTTCAACGTAGTTAGAAAGATTCCAGCCCCGCGTACCTATGGCACGCACAGCTGGATCGCTCTCTGGGTGGGACAGGGAGACCTAAGACATACAATCTTGCTTTGGGTGCCAAAGCATGTGCACTCATGTTTAGATTGCTGTTTCGACAAATCTGCAAACCAGGGTGCATCCCCCCAGGGTTTCAGCTGTGGAACGTAAGATTTCTTTTTTTATTATTATTATAAACTTTATTCATAAACAATGCATTGAAAAACAGTGCATTGTCAGGGTATACCATTTACAAATAAAAAAGACCAAAAAAAAGAAGAGCGGTGTTAAACATTGTCATACAAGTGAATAACAATAATAATGATATAGTAACAATAGTAATAATAATATAACCAACAAGCTTTTAGCTAAGTTTCTTTTTACATAAAAATATTTACATTTTGGTTGATTATTGTAATTGTAATTATTTACCTTCTTATTTTCAGTGCTAGCATTTATGATCTTACTTTTCTCTAATTTCTACCTCTTATTTCTATCCATTCATAGAATTTATTCCAAATCATATAATATTCTGTATCTTCTTGATCTTTAATTTTAAAGGTTAATCTAACCATTTTGGCACAGTCAAAAAAATTTCGAATTCATAAAAAAAAGACTTAATTTTTGAGGATGGGGAAAGTGTCTATTAGGGTTCCAAGTAATAGACCCATGGCAAGCAAAACTCCCGAGGCAGGTCGATTCCTCAAAGAATAGTTTTATTGGATATATCATGTTGGCACAGATCTTGTGGAAATCAAATCTGAAGGTTCCTACAGTTTTCACCTAATTAAAAGTTTTTCACTTTCTCAAAACAATCAGTCACGTGGTCCAACCAGGGCTCTGTCTGGTTGCCTGATGACATCATTCCTCCTTCCTCTGACCAGATTTGAGAATGTCCTTGGTTCCCAAGAGAAAGTATTTTATTTTGGCTACAAGTCCCAGCTATCTCAAATCCCCCCTCCCTATCTGTCAGCTCCAGTGTGGCAACATTGAAGGGCCAAGATGGCTTCTGTCGGGTCGGCTTCAGGCAGTGATTGGCAGTGTCTATTCTATGCCAGATGTCGCCCCAATGATATTATTGAGTTGGTTAGTGGAGCAACTTAAGTAACTTCAACCCACCCAAATAGTGACCCAGATTCCCACCCAGTCTTCAAAAAAACAACAGAAAGAACAGCAACTGGGATAAGCATAAAAAAAGAGTGGGGCATTCCAAAGGAAAAGGAGATTGGGTGAAGGGGGCAAGGGGAGGCAGAGGCAACTCAAGTAGGGATTTCCTTCTCTTACCTTCAGGTCATCAGCATTGTAAAAGCTAACTTGAACTGAGGGCACCATCCAGGTCTGGAAGACCATCTGTAGTATCTGCCGGGCCACTGAGTCTGTGATGAGATGGAAGTGGAGAGGGTTCTTCCTATCAGACGAGAATAAAGATTATGCTCACAAGAAATGGGAGCAAGACCCGTAAGAAAACAGTCCTATCCCACTCTCCAAATATTTTTCATCATCATGAGATGATAGCATGATAGTTCATAAACCCGAAGCTCACTATAGTCTCATCTACTCTCCTGGGCAGAGCAGGGTAGGGGAGAGTAGATCACATAAAGCAGGGATGGATTTTTGCCATTGTGTGCCAAAAGCAGAGGGAGCGTGTGTGTGTATGGCATGCATTTGTGTGCCCACACCCATAATTCTATGTGCCCCGCGCATATGCCTGCAAACCCTCCCCCCACTCACCCACTGCTTTTGGCCATGTGATGGCATGGTGGACCCGTTTTTCGCCCTCCCCAGACTCTAGAGGCTTTCTAGGAATCTGGGGAGGGCAAAAATGGCCTCTCCCCCGGGAGGCCGGAAACAGCCCGTTTTTCAACTTCCAGTTTGCTCATTGGGTGAAAAAAGACCCAACACGCAAACCAGAAGTTTGGGAATGGACTTCTGGGTTGCCCTTTGGGCTGTTTTTCTCCTCCGGAGGCTTCAGGAGACTTCCCTGAAGCCTCTGGAGGACGAAAAACAGCCCAACAGGCAAAACGAAAGTCTGTTCCCGGCAAAAAAATGTCCGAAAATCAAGGCTGAAATCAGCTAACAGGGCAACGCCTTGAGTGCCCTCAGAAATGGCTCTGAGTGCCACCTGTGGTACCCGTGTCATAGGTTCACCATCACGGACACAAAGGACACAAAAGATTAAATCCAAATTTCCCTTTCTCTTTATCTTTTCTCCTATATCCAGAATTGCAGCTTGGAAGCCAAGGTGGAGAACATCATCACATTTGAATTCCCCCCCCCCTCAAATTCTAAAGACTGAAAGAACCAAAAACTTCAAGAGCTACTGAATGACATAACAACAACATTTGCCCCTCCATGTTCAGGTTACCTGTGGAAGAGGATAGATTTCACCAAGGTAACTACATCCCGGCTTGCATTGTATCCAGCACAAACAATGGCAACATGGAGGAGCTGTTCAGAAACACAAAAACCCATCAAGCTTGACTCCCAATGAAATTCTTCCCCACGTTTACAAATCAAGCCATTCGACGTTATTCCGCCCGCCATTCTATAGGCTCCTGTGGATTCTGTTCCCATCAATAATAAACCCTTAAAGAACCAGAGTTCAGATACAAATGGAAGCCAGATGCAAACTAATAGGGGATTCTAACTCTTCCAAGTCTGTCATTCTGTTAATACAACTCCTTTGTCTGCCCTGATTTTGGAGTCCCACGAAGCCTCCTCCAGATTCAAGTGTTGGAAATTGTGATCATTTTGGGGGTCACTTTGAATCCAGAAACATGTCACAAACCGACATAAAATAGGTTTGATGTATTTTTAAAAACAAAAACAAAAGACATCTACCCAAAAATAAGGGAGAGAGAAACAAAGGTGTGATGTGACCCTTTCTATTTGCACCTTTGCTTTGACTACTGTGACCCTCACATTCCTCAAAGTTAACAATTATCCCACATTACTAGAAGGCTGCCAACTTCTAGCTCTCGTGAATTAGAGCACAAACCCTTTGGCAAAGTAAATAGCACAGAGCGTCTAAGCAAAAAGGAGCCACCACGAGGATGTTCAATGGTTTAGGGAACAGAATTTATCAAGGAGATTGGACTACAGTATACCTCTTCTGGTGACTACTTCCCTAATTTGGGCAGACATCTTTCTTCACGAACAGGCAGTCCACAAGATGTCTTCGTAATGACATCTTTAACCTTTACCTCACACTTCTGAACCATCCTCTGTTTAAGGCACCCACTGTAGTTGCTCCTTCCCTCCTGCTCTTTGATGAACTGTGATCCCTGCTGGTTGAAGTCCATTCTCCCTAAGGTCTCCTCCTGTGCCTGAGAGTGGCTGAGCTTCAGTTTCAACTGTTGGTTTTCCTCTTCCATTTTTCGCACCTGGGATGCCAAGGCTTCACGGTCAAGGTACTGACTTGACTGTTCCCCAAAGCAAGGGGGCAGCATAAGGGAACATCCATCTGTAGAAGAAATCCCCAAAAATGTAAACGGGAGAATGGGAAGAACACTACATCTCTGACCACTGAGCCCCACCATGTCAATGTCATGAAACCAGAATAAGAAGCTTATCGTATTTTTCAGAGTATAAAATTTAAAAAAAAGTTTTTGCACTCTGCAGACCTCCCAAAAGCTCTGCAAGCCTCATTTTTTGTGAAAAACGGGACATGGGAGAGGCAAAAACAAACAAAAAATGGCCTGTTTTCACAAAAATTGGCACTTTTTTTGCCAAAAACAGGGCATGCATAGCCTTTAGGAGGCTTCTAGAGTGCTCCTGGGGGCTGAGGGGGAGCAAAAACGAGCAAAAAACACCCCATCTTTCGCTTGTTTTTGCCTTTCCCAGCCTTCAGGAGCACTTTGCAGGCCTCCCAAAGCCTCTGCACATTCATTTTTGTAAAGGGGGCAGGGTTTCAGGAGGCCAAAAATGCTGTATTCAATGTATAAGACGCACCCAGATTTTCTTACTTTTTTGGGGTGGGGGAAGATACGTCTTATACTTCAAAAATACGGTACTTGCAAATCACAGCAGGAGAAAATAATTTATTTAATTCATATAGATAAGTTAAAATTCCATATATTTTAAAATATTCTCTCTCCTCCACTCCCCCCGCTTTGTAATTTACCAGTTTCCTTACATTCCCTATAAGCTGTCTCTTTTTGTTATGTCTTAAAGACTTCCATGCTTAAACAAAATGGTGATTACCCCAAAGGCGGGGGGGGGGGGGAAGAGAGAGTATCAAACTGAATGGTCAAGGAAGTTGATAATCCACATCATGTGTTAAAAATACAGAAACCTTCTCTAGTCTGACATTTAAAAACTCTAGACTTTTAAAAAAATCCGATCATTCCCAGCCAATGCATAAAAAAACAGGGCAGACTTTGTCCAAAGGTTTCAAATGCTACCATGGTCTATACTCGCCCGCATCCTGGGCCCATTTTTAGGAAGCACCCTCTCCCATTCCAACCCCAGATTACCCATAAAGAGGTAAAGCCATGAGATGAGGAAAACCAGAGTCACAGTGGCAAGCAGCAGCTTCAGCTTCACACGCCAAGGACACAGCATGATGGTGGCAAAGGTCAGGTGGGCAGATCCAGCCTCACTGGAGCCAGCATTCTCTAGCCTGCAAACATAAAGGAAGACATGGAGTGTTACCAGTATCCTTCCACCAAAGGGGTCTTCCTTAGTTCCAAAATGGATATGTGGACTTTCCAGAGCCCAGGCAAACAACAGTTGCTAAGACACCTCTTTCACAAGAACAAGCATTCCATATTTAGTTCTGATGAACATGAACACATCCCAACTCTACTGGCACCCAACACTGCTGCTTAATCTATTCAGAGACCAGGTGGTTTGAGTCACTGTCTCTTTCTCTCTTTTGCCAATAGCAGTTTCATTAACTCTCCAAATAGCCACATTTGCTTCATGCAGAGCCTGGGCTGATGGTCATCAAGACTGATAATATGGTTCATGATTAATGACAGCAACTGACAATCACAGTTATAGAACACCAGCGAGCATCTTTTGCCCCATCAGTCAGCTGGAAAGACAGTAAAGCTTCTTCTTCTTCTTCTTCTTCTTCTTCTTCTTCTTCTTCTTCTTCTTCTTCTTCTTCTTCTTCTTCTTCTTC